GATCTGCCCCTAATTAGGTGTTTGACAAATAATGTATTGATTGCCATGAGGTGGCTTGGCCGAGTACTGATCTCAGGTTTCGATCAGTTGCCAAAGCGCTTTGTTAATTCTCGCACGTGTCTAAAATCTACGAGTAGCTGTATGTTTTGTCCACATCGCCTCCGCATAAAAGTGAACATTTTGGCATTGCAATATTATCGTATTTTAGACGTTTCATATATAATTTCGAAGCGTTCCAAACAGTCAAATACAAAACAACAATAAATTCAAGCATATTGGAAGGCACTCACTAAGATGTGATCCCGAACTCGTTTTTCCTATTTTACTTTCATGCTCTGTTTTACTTTCGAATTAATCATGGAGCAATCTGTAACATGTTAATATTGCACTAAAAGTAGTATCGCACGCTTCCTTATAATCTACCACGTTTTATCAAGTCCGTCTATGTTTCGCCAAAGAACCTTTGTAATTCCAATCTCAGAGATTTTTACAATGTGGTTTTCATACGATTTCCTGTTTTATCAAATCTTCTGAGAATTCCGCTTTTTCCCGCGGATTGCCGGGCTTGTTCATATATTTTTGGGCTAATGTTCACGTCCACTTGCAGTCGATATACAGACACATTGTTCCCATTGAGCTAATCGAATTGAATATAATAATTGTTAAAGTAGCTGAACGTTTATGGTTGTGGGGTCGCGAGTATATTTAGTCTTTGATTTTATGAAAATTGGGGTCGCGAAAAAAAGTTTGGGGGACGCTGTGCGATCAAACTCCCCCATTATGAAGGTAACCGCCGTTATGAGGTCATAGACCCAACGAACATCCAGCCGTTCCGGGTTTAAATGGACAGCGGACCACTCACCAAGTTTGGTTGTTAGACGAATACCGGTACTACGAATCAATAGGAGGTAGAAAATCACAAAATTGATAGACATGCCTCAATACTTTGTATTTTGCAATTTGCATATAATATATTAATATTAAAATATATTTGGCGGACCGGCAGCAAGGTTATCGCGGACCGGCGGCTGAGAACCACTGATCTAAAGTGTCTTGTCGTAATAATTCAATTGTGCTCATCGTTACTCACGTTCGATTCGAAATTACTATTAGGATTACTGAAATGATGAAATACTATTCTAAAATAATATAAACTGCGTGATAAACTGTATAATAACTGTATAACTATAAATAAATTGGAGTCGTATTTTTGCGATCTTGGGATTTGTTAAACTTGATTTGTTCTTTCGCACTCGAGATTATTTTTAAGCAAGATGTCGCCGTTTGAAAAATCACAAGGTCTTGGCAAAATACGAACGATTGAAATTTATTTTAGTGCATGCGGCTCTGTCGGTAGTTCCAGAAAGGAAAAATGGTACATCGCGCGCATAATTAATTAACTGTGTTTCAATTTCGCAGTTTCTACGATGAATAACCGAAAACCTAACATAACACCAAATTTTATGATTTACGATGTCTATAACAGCGTTTTTATTCTGACGTGAGTCTGCTGAAACAAAACTTATAGTGTTATCTCCCATTTTAAGTTTTAGTTCTAATATTTTAGAAGGCCGCTTTTTAATCAAGAAATTTGAATTGCGGATTTACCTCTTTATTAACTATTATTTTTAGCATTTCGTCGCCGATGATTATAATATAGTAATATGTTTTTCACATTGAACTCATAATTCCCCACGAGATTTATTTATGACTTGTATTAACCCTATTAAAAGTGTTTGGTATTTAAATTGAGTAAAGTACGTTTAACTTACTCAGGAATAATAATCGGAAAGTAACAATTTTAACATTTATTTTGGGGCTCCGTGAATAATATTCAACCTTTTCAAGGGCTCCGCAACGCCAAAAGTTTGAGAACCCCTGTAGTACTAGACAACCCCATTATAGAGGCTGAAAACATAATCTGGGTGTCAATAGAAAATTGTGCAGTTTGAACTCTCAAACATTGTTTATAGTTTACATAATAGTGTGGAAGCCTATATTCAAATCATGCATGTGCGATGTTCAAAGAAAAATACATTTAGAATATAAACACTGTATGATCAGAAATATATCAGAAATATAATAGATATATACGTGAAATGGTGTTGGAGTGTATTTCTGAAAACATGATACCATGATTTCAGCGTTTGTTAGTATCTGATTTTTCATCCATTGATATTTGCTAACACTCAATCTACCTCTGGAAATAATTTTTTTGGATACTCCAGAATGTATGCACCAAGATGGCGGACGCCGGAACGTCGAATGTGTACTAGGTTAGGGTTAGGTCATAATTTTAGGTACAAATACTACGGGAGTCACTTGGCCAGTCTCCGATTTCGTAATAAAACTAAAACAAGGAAAAGTGGAATAAAATTATAGCCTGACCCTAACCTGGTACTCATACGACGTTCGGTAACCGCCATCTTGGTGCACATGCTTCTGGAGCGCCCTATTTTTATTTTAAATAAAATTCTCTATAACTTCTATTAATCGATTATTTTCTCTTGTAGTCGATTATTAACTTTTTATTTGCATTAGAGGTAATTGATCATTGATTCTATGTTTTTGTCACATTTATTCTTATAATTTCTTTGATACTTTGCGTTAAAGAGCAAAACAAATGTGTTAGGTCAGACACTAATTGATTTTTATTTTTTTATTTAAACAGGCAAAAATTTTGATGATATCTGGAAAATGTTTAAAAGTAAGAAAATGACTGAATAAATAGATTGTGCCTTAACATTTCGAAACTTCTTTGATTTATTTTTGACAGATCTTCGTCAAATTACCGTGAAGAATAAATGTCCAGCCAATTGCTTGAAAACACACAATTAACATCACATGTCATTTATAGATAAATTCATTTATTTATTCCAAATAAATACAATAAATTCTAAAATATATCTTTGTGTGAATTTATTTAGAAAAAAATAAGCAATTTTAACACAAATTGGAAATACAATTTTTCAAATTTTTCAATTTTTTAAATGCCTTTATTGCTGGAGTTGTGACCTGAAGCTGAAGATAGGCTGAATATTTGTCAACTAAAATTGGTCTCAATGTAAGGCCACGCAAAGTCACTCAGAAGGAAAACAGGTTGATTTATGAGATAAGTTACGAGCGACCAAGGAAGTGTCACCTATAGAAAGCGTATTTGAAATAAGCTGCAATTCTCATTAAGCCAGCAACACGCAGTCAAATTGAACCTCCAAGTACGTGTACTTAATAGTCCTAATAAATCATCGCAGCAACACAGATTTTGCTGAAATCTTAAAACGTAAAATTGAACTTTGTTACAAAAGTAATTAAATTTTCAGGTATCGGGAGTTAATTTTGTTTCAGTTGGCAACGAAGCACTTGAACTATTAACGACACTGATAGATTATTATTATCGTGAACGGCAGTCTAAAATAACACATAAGTGTAATGTTGACCTTTAAGCAAAGGATAGATACACTGGGTTCATTGGTTTGTGCAAACCCGTTTTTGAAATGTCGTGACAATCAACGACCCCGATCGTGTTTGTTAGAGCTATAAATTCGGCATGTTTTTAGAGCCTTCGATACAAAACAGAAATTGCTTAGAAATGTTGAATCCCATCGTTGTTAATCTGTCATGATGGCATTTGATCTTTAAGGATGTTATTGAACATAAACTGTATCTATCGTTTTGTTATTATTATTTTGTTGTTGATTTTATAGTTGGTAATATTTTGCTTCTTGTTGCTGTTGTGAAAAATCGTTTTTTTTTCACCGTATTACTAAACCAATTGCTCTGTTTAAAGATTTTATTTTTTGCAAAAAGGCTATTAATTTCATTTATTTCAAAAAATTGTTTGAGTTGTATGTAGTTAGTTTTATTGCGATGACGTCATCAAAATTAAAATTTGCGCATCTTGTGAGGGTTCCACGTTCGTATTCGTCAGGCGAAGTCGTGACGACTGCGGTACAGGTAGCCTACTGTGACTGATTGCATACCCGTACTACTTAGTTTTGGTCTCCGTTTTCATATAGGCCTATTTGGGTATTGTTCTCTTGTATCGAATTTATATATACATATATATATATAATATGCCTATTTATATTGAACATATGCAAACTTTCTGCTATTCGCAATAAATTGAATACTGTATCAAGAATCAAAATTAAAATGTTTGCAGTTGCATTCTATATAATAGTCAACACCGGCATAAACTATACAAGTATTCTATACGGCACAAATATGTACGTGGTGGTCACAAATGAATCGCCCCGTTAAATCACATTGCTCAATGAAAATCCAATTAGTACAATTAAATTCAATAATTTTGATTTAATTAATGCAAAGTTTAACGGTAATTAAATACGTGAATATGCTGATTCGATTTGCCTTGATAAGAGTCAAGTTATTTTTTATATTACTCAGGACTGAAGGCAAATTATGAATATATCATTGCACCAAATCAAACAATATTAATTGCAATACCATGTGCTGAATTTTGTATTATAAATTTAATAAGTTTTCTCTTTATAACGGCACGGTGAGCAATATGTAATTTTGATCACGTCACCAAAAGAATCTTATAGAGCCCACAGCAATTTTTATAAACTGAATGAAAAAAAAATCTAGTGACACTAACAATCCCTAACCACGAAAACCTTCAAATAAATTGGTTTAAACGTTGAAGAAAAAGGCGATATTTCACAACAAAAGCATTGGAAAAACAGCGACACATTGCAAATTTGCTACGATATATGATTATGATTCAGCATAGCTGACAATTTTAAATCAGCTTATCTCTTTGTTCCTTATTAGTTATTTGAACAAATTACTATTGCTTTCTTTATATCACTTGTTACTTGCAATTAGAATCCACGATAGTTTTAAAGCTTTTGAGTAAGTGTTTGTCATATACGTTATATAGATATTAAAGTATTATTACAAAATAAACAAGATTTGAAAATTTAAATGTTCAATATAAATAATAAAATAAAAACTAAATGATAATTCTTGAATTATCAGTCAGTTCGCATCAGTTATTATAAATTTTGGTAAGTGCTTTCCATTGGTTGTTCGTAAGTTGGTTCAATAGTTATATCAGAATAAGCTGGTTCTGCGTATTGATGTTCACCACTGGTCTCTAAATCTAAATTGCCTTCTAAAATATTTAAACAAAAATTGAGTCTCATTGGCTTAATTTATTTTTCAATTTATAACTGTTTAAACCTGATAGGAATAAACGTGAAAGTTTCGCAAGCTTTCCTTTTTTTTTTTATTTGCTGTCCCAAAGACAGATATATTAGCCCACATGGTCAATGAATCAAAACACGAATATTGTAATAGGGAAGTAAATATTTTCAATATATCGTATATACAAAACTGTTTTTATAGATAATTACTTTTAACAAAACTAAAGAATAATCAGTACCGCTGTCCATTTTCCTATACACCAATGATTTAACAAAAAAAACTCACCTCTCGGACTGTTTTCGTTGTTTCGAATGTTTTCTGTTCCCACATTTCCTTGTTGCTTTGCACTTAAAATAAAAGTAAAAAGTGATAATCAATATCGGCACACATATTGTAAAACAATCACTTTAAACATCTTCATTCATTCATATGAATCAAAAAAAAATTTCTCAAATTTGAAAAAAAAATGAAAATTATGTGTCAAAATTTATGTCTTATCAGACTCAAAGCTGATTTGGGAAGAATATATAATTGTATACTGATGCATCTATTATATATTCAAAATTTCGTTCATTAGTTGCGTACAAGTTTGTTTGTTTAACTAACAAAAACAACAACAATAACAACAATATAAATTTAATTAAACGAGACTAGCAATTTCAGCAATTTGTGTCACATTTTCAATTTTTCGCATATCGCCACAGTAAAACCAAATTAGTTACGTCACATTTTCTAAGAAATTGATTATTTTATTTTCTGTCATCATGGACAAGGGGCCATATTTTGGTTTGGTATCAAAGATGTACCTGTTTCAGTTTTTATTTTGGGTAGTGCGTTATGTCCATGTTTAGGTTTGGCTGTTTGAAAATTACAAACATGCCATTTTTGCAACTTCCTAAAATGTGATATAACCAAATTTCGCTCTACTGCAGCTATGTAAAGATATAAACAAGGAAGACGATTCGAAACCAAATAATTTAAAAAACAAACAAAATCTTACATCATAAGCTGTTTTCGATACCATAGTATTAACCAAATTGCTATAATCAAAATAACAGTAGGAATGATGAAGCCAATCACCATGCTGACGCCATTTAAGGTAAAGTTAGCTTCATTGAGTGACTCATTTTCGGGTAAGTTCTTTGCATGAAATGACTCATTTTCGTGTGATATATTGAATGGCTTGGAAGCTTTGTAACTGATATGGCGAGTGGTTCTAACTGTAAAAATAATATATCGTTATTTTGAGAATTATACACGCATATGTATATAGTTAGTTTTATTCAATTCTTACGAAAATTATATTTGAAAGTTTGAATTCGATTACACTAACAAAGCATTGTTTTTTTTAATTATACAATAAACTTTTTACTCCTCATAAAGTCCGACTTCTAATTTTAACATATACCTACTCGGAATATCTGTTTTAATTCAAGATTTGAACAAAAAAAATTGAATTGGGATCTGGCTTGACAAGTTTGTGAATAAATAGAACTTAACGTTTGTAACCATTTTTAGTTTAAGTTAAATAAGTAGACCCCTGTCTCCGGATTTGAAGAGTCTAAATTTCCGACTGCAAATCCAGAGTGGTCAAATATGAGACTCGACACCAGTGAACTTATAATAATTCCCGCTAAGACTAAATTATATATATAAAAAAAAATTAAATTCATCCATAGTCCTAAAATAATGCGATTCTCACCTGGTGTTGTTGTTAATTCTTGTTGGTAGATATATGCCATATCGATGGAAAACTCAAAGTCCATATAATAAGACAGTGTGAAACTAATATTCACAGGAAATATATCATCTTGTACTATCCAAAAAGCTCCCACACAACCTTCCGAACTTATGATTGAAAAATCAGGTTTGTATATATTACGAGGTTTAAACAAAAAGCACATGTTCTCGTCTCTTTTCAGAATTGCTCCCTTCCATTCATTTGCTGTTAACCGAATATATAAAAAGAAAACATCATTGAGGGCAACACGATTTCTGTTTTATATATTTACGCAATAAATTTTGGAACGATTGTCTTGAAATTGGCAATGGATGAAGGCAGTTATAGTTGCTAGTTGTCTATTACTCTGATTTATTCAGAAAAATTCTTGTGATTTTTATGGATTCGTTTTTTACTTTAAAGTTTGTGTGATGAATCCAAAGTCGCGCACTTTGTGGCAATAACGCAATCGCATTTCAGCAATTTGGTATTTAGCGAAGTTGGAAGCGTTTTATAATAAATAAAATTGGAACTGTAAAAGATTTGATAAAAAATTATTCGTTTTGATTGTGGTATCCTAATTTGTCTTAAATAATGCATAGTTAATGGAATACGGATAATCAAGCTTTTGCTTCAGGAAAGAAATAACAGACTAACTATTCCTATACCCGACATGAACTGGTAACCGGACGAAAGGCCGTGTTTCGCCACATGATTAAGCCGTCTTATCGGCGTTCCTCTCCCTCGGAATGAATATGTGAATCCTATGATATTTTTGAAAGTAATATATCGACTTACTTGACACTTGCAAAGGATGTTGACGCCTAATTCTAAAGAAACCCCACTCCTCATAGTCTATACTTGTCACTTTTAGCACCAATACTTCGTTACTGTGAGCACATCCGTTTTTTGTTAAAGTCCATTCGTTTTCTGTTATAGACCCTTCATCAATTCGTGAATCATTGTTCTTGAAGGAAGTTCTAGCTTGGGAACAAACGTTAACTATTTCGCAACTTCCGATATAGAAGAAAAGAATGCTCACTGTTCAAAGAAATAATAGCAATATGAATGCGATTGTCATTTTACGCTACCGCTCAAGCGTTGAGTTCAATTTTTCAATTTTTATTTTCCGAATTATCTTACTAATTTGTAGCACCACGTCTCGTAGGTAAATTGATTGAGCTGGACAACTTGCAATGTCAAGTCCGGCCGACAAACACTCCTAACAATAAGTACCAAGGCGTACCAATGCCCTTATTTAAAAAAAGAAATTTGCCCGATGTCTAAAATCATCTATACGTAAACTTACAAGCGAGTACTATAAAACCATGAGCAACTTCACTCGTATGGTTTACTCGCGATATCGAATGCCGATAATCGTGAGTGGTGAGAAGTACCTTAAGTCAAAACGACAAGCAAAAATAAATCGCGTGAACACCAAGTGATTGAATTTTTTCCGGAATCAATTTTGGAGTAAATATTTCTTTCCCTGATCTTTCGACTTAATTGTAACCAATTTCTTACATCTGTTTGGTTTGTATCGAGTAATTACCTGGTCAGGATTAAAATCTGAGATCTCCCAATCGCGATTCTAAATGACAAGACCCACGCCCAAACAGATGGATGTTCATTATCGGTATAAATCGAAATCAAATGGAGGAAACCTTATAATTGAAATAATGAGGTTGAATAAAAAAAGTTTATATCGTGAGTCAGATATAATTAATGCATAAGATAAAAAAACAAGCAGTATTCATAATTATTTTTTAACATTCTTGATTATTTTTACCAAAATAAAGGAAATTTATATGACATTTGAATTTCAGTTTGAATATGATTGTACACAAAAGTTTTAGTAGACTATAACACTTTACACAAAGGTTATTCACTCTCTAGAATATGTTCCCAATAAACTTGATTTTTTTTGATGGAGGGGGGACTTTGTAGTACAAAAAACAAACCGCCTCAGATTTTTAAAATATGTTCACGAAGTGTGAATGCGCTCATACTGAGTAAATTCGCAATAAAATGAAAAATCAAAATGAATTATGCATTTGACACACATATAAATTCATTTGATGAAAACAGTAAGCTTACCTGCTATCAGAAGCAAAAATAGTCTCTGCATATTTGAATATTTCATGGTGAATCTCTTCACATTTGATTTGCAGAGAAATAGTGTGATATATATCCTTTCAAAAGCACGCTACAAATAAGTGTATGAAAACTATATTTAAAACAGATCAAGTCTTAAATACGTGGCACTAAAGTTCCAAATTTTTATTAATACAGAAAGCACCGAGTTTGCTGGAAATATACGTTAAAAAAGCAATAGTTAGACTACGGTAGAATGCGGAATATTAGTGTTTCATTCAATCAAAAAAACAGTAAACGTAGGGTTCTATAGGTACATTTTAAAGATACAAGTATACGACAGCTATCCGTCTATACCAAACCCAGACTGGTAAATATCGCCATGTCAATAAATTCTTAGTTATAGTCTAAAATAATGTGATCCAATTGTCATAATACTAATTCTACGTAATACCACGTTTACTAAATCAATTACTCCGTATGTCTCTCTGAGTTTTTAAAAATATCTATAGCAATTTAATTGTTTTGCTGTAACTCCCATTAAAAATGATACATGGGCATTGAGTACCCCTGAAAATAGCAAGTTGCGTCTACAAGTAATTGTTTATCGGTCAGTTTGTGAATTTCGATCTGTGATGACGCATTCTATTGTATTATTAGACGTACGTGATAAAACTCATTCTGGCTACGTACGGTATGCAATATGGGTTATATTTTACAACATAGTACCGTAACTGTGTTGGAATTTCTCTTATAAATCAATCTATTACAATAAAAGTACGAAATGCCCCATAAATTACGAGCTGTATTCCGTCATGATAGGCCCTCTTTGTCAACTTGTGTGTGTGTTTGTGTGTGTTGTATATGTGTGTGTGTGCAGCTGTATCGTATAAACGACTGGACCGATCTGAATGAAATTACACACATGGGTAACTTGTCACTCTAGTAATAAGCGTTTCACCGCCGAAGATCCAGATTGATGTTTTGTTTACATGGGAGTAGCGACAAAACAAAATAAAGTTGCAAGTTTCAGAAACCCGGTCACCCGGTCAGCGATCTTCGTAGCTATGGATTTTATCATTGATTCGTTGTTCGTGAATATGTTGGGAGGCTAATTATTCAGGGTGCATTTTCGTAAATCGTAATACCTTTCATCAAATATAAGATCTTCGCAATTAATATTAAAACTGTTCAGATATTTGAAAAATAAACTTCAAAATATACGCAGTGAACGGGTAACGTGGACCTCAGCTGATGCCTAGCATTCATTCGTCATTTCGGAAGTTATGAATTAGACTTATGTAAAGCGCAGACGCGTAGATGCAGCTCAGGTGATATTATAAACGTGACTCATAGTGATATTATATATATATTATATTCTCTGAAAAGTAAGGGATCTTTTGTTAGTAAGTAGATGCAAAAGAGAATATGGTCTTCAAATTTGGAATCGCGCCGCTGTATATATGCATATGTATTCCTAATTTACGTCCTATTATTGCCGTAGTGCATATTTTATGAATAAAATCATTAGGCTCGATCAAGTAGGCCTTTGAAACACCCACGAAACAGGTACAAGGTACATGTATTTCCTTTTTAAATTGAGTGCTGCGCTACAGAAACGTTTTTGTTAGCGCTTCATTGGCAAATAAAAATGTAGTGCTAAAACGTTAACGGGCAATTCGGATCCGAAATATTATAATACAGTAGAATATACGATTTTTTTTAACAGGGTTCCGTAATAGTCTACCCACGCTATCATATGATGCTGCTATTGAATGGCTTTTAACGTTTGATCGATGACTGGTTATCAATGAAACTCTGTATGGCGTAATAAGTCTTAGCGAGTATATATGAAACGGTCGTAGGTGGAAGGTCGTTATAATGTCGCAGTCTGAATTGAAGGCAATTTGACAAGCCTAGCATATATGTGAAGTGAAGCGTCGAGTCTGAATGGGAAGCATACAGATAACTAGTACAGGGGAATCGGCGATTATCATTGCATTTAGAGGCTGAAATGATTTTATATAATATATATGAACGTAAGAGGGAGATTTAATTCATTTTCGTGATGCACAGTGCGGTAATGTACATTATGAAATACAGCTTAATCCTTTATTTTTAGTTAAAATTGAGTATAATTTTGATGAGCATAACTACAAATCCATTAAATTAATACGTTTCTAGTAATATGGAATTCTGTGAGTGTACGATTGCGTTACTTGGCCTGGCTCTCTTATTGTGTTGGTATCTGTTGAAAAGACCGAAGAATTTTCCGCCAGGTCCTCATGGGTTACCATTGGTTGGTTACACTCCATTTATGGGCGACAACCCTGCTGAATTATTTCGAAAAATGAAAAGTAAATATGGATCCGTCATGTCAGTACAAATGGGTCGCGACGACTGGGTAGTTTTGAACGACTATGACACTATCATGGAGGTAAGAACAGAAAGATTATTTTTTATCCACATTAAAGTATATATGCATTTTCAGAAGTCTCGTCATGCACCCTCAAGAAGCTGCTACAACGTTTAAAGCTGTTCAAATGAATAAATTGCATGTTATTCATTAGTGAGGTCCCAATACGAGCAGTATATCATCACGCTAATAACCGAATTGAGTGGGTCATTTTTAGCAGTTTTGAGAAAAACGTAAAAAACTTCCTTATGATATTGTTATGCCATCGAGAGTCAATAATTTGCCATGGTTCAATTTTTTGATCGTAGCCGGATTTAAGTTAACTTGTATGACGCAGTTAAGTGACGTCATAATGGCGCACTGTGACTTAGGCAGAAATGTGTCTATGACTTGGGGACATACGTAATTTTGCAACATTACTATATGCACCAGTCCTGAAAATTAAACATTCCAAAAACGAATGTAATTCTCAGTATCTGGTATCTACAATGTCTAATTCCCAAAGAGCTAATCAGTTTCAATTACATTATTTTTTAAGTTTTGAAATATATATTATTTTGCCTTTGTGAAGTCACAATAGTCCTGCGGTATCAATGATAATTCATTATGACGAAACAATTGCACAAATGTGCATGTCATACTAAATCTCCATTTTTATGGGTTTCGGAATTCTTAAAATAAAATCTGAGTTAACAGACAGGTGCGCAGCATCACATAAATACCTATTTTATAAAACAAAAAAAAAAACAAAAAAAAAATATGACTTACGCAATTCGGTTAATAGGATGACGATATGCCAAACAGTTATTTCTCTATCTTCAACATGTTACGCTTCAATCCACCTAAATTAATGTCATTTTCTCCTTACTTTGAAGCCGTTAAATTCGAAGTGGCGAGAATACTGCATGGCATTGGAGCGATGCATTTGACTTTTCTTCATAAATTTACAAAGTTAACAATAAGAGCAATTGAGAATTGTAGATTTATATATCACAGTGATCGCTTGTATAAAGCCCTGTTTAATTAATATGAACACTGGAAACAGATGCGCAGGACATCGATATATATTACAAAAATCAGCCCGCATAAAATGTCAAGCGCGTTTGCATACAGACACAACAGTACGCCAAGCCAATACTCGTTTTGACAAACACAGTTACATTTTCCACTTATTTATTCCTAAATTTTGTTTGACACGCTCGCTTAATTATCTCACGATTTCACTAAGATATTGTAATTTTTACATGTTTTTTATATTCATTTTTATGCATCTATACTTCGCAGGCTCTCGTGAAACAAAGCGAAAAGTTTTCTGGCCGTCCTAAGCTTTTCATGCTAGAATTAGTAACAGGGGGCCGTGGATTGGCCATGGTTGATTATGGTCCTACATGGAAAACTCTTCGAAAGTTTGGTCTGATGACTTTGAGAGGGTAAGTGTATGGTCTAGTTCAGGGTGGTCCAAACCCAGGCCCGCGGGCCACATATAGCCCGCCGCTATATTATCTGTGGCCCGCGTCACATTCGGAAAATAATCAAAAAATCGCATTTCGTGTTGTTTCGTAAAAAATTAATCAGAAAAATCTTTTGACATATTGTTACATCAATAATGTCACTGAATTGACTAGTGTTATGGCTAGCTGAGGCAACTAGCGAAGGCGAATGATGTGCTTGGCAATCTAAAGTATTATCTGGCTTTCTATTTTTCTGGTCGGGAATATGTGCTAACAATATAGGCATCATAGAAAACTAAAAATCGAATGCGGAATATATTATTCTGGGATGGCTATGTCTGATAACTATGTGTTTGCACAATGAAAGTGTTTGTTTTGTATTTCACTGTTTACCTATTCTTGGCACTATTGTGGCCCGCGAACAATGCAAAAATAATTTTGTAGCCCGCGTAGCCGACAACCTTGGACCACCCTGGTTTAGTTTAATAATATAAATGTAACATGTTGTTCTGCAGAATTACACATGCTAATAATAAATGTGTTGGGTACCTTATTTATTTATTTTTCAAACGAGTTATTTATATGTCTTTCGCTCCAAAATAGGCTGTACACAAGCAACCGGTGCTATGATATGGTTGGGAATGACAAGAATCGGATTTTCTGTACAAAGCCCCGGTCACTGATACAAAAATGTGAGATTTGAGAAATACATCCCCGCCATGTTTTAAAATCCATTTAGGGTTGGGGGTTCGGGTTGGAAATGATTTGAAAATATGATAAATTTGCATGGCTCAGTTCTATGTAAGAAACATTTTTGATATAAGAAGTAAACTCTAACGCTAAAGTCATGATATGATGGTTTCTCCCTTCGCAGGTTTGGCGTTGGCAAAAAGGGGATGGAGGAAAATGTTATTGAAGAAACTCGATCTCTAACCGAAGATTTGACAACACAGAGCAAGCGTAGTTTGAGTGTATGAATTTTACTTTTTGATACACATGAAATGAAGATTACCGTAATTTATCATACCAATGAAATTGCCAAATATTGTATCGAAAAACAATTATAAGCTCAAAGTATTTTTATATTACAGCCTTTTTCAGCTATGGATAAATCTAATTGTTTTATAGGGAAAAACTTTTTAGGAACGTTTAGTGATGCTATTACTCTTTCCTTAATTAGAATTTTTTTCTAAATGTACATACATTTTATACTATATATACACAGTAAAAAAGTCGGATCCCGGGATGTGTGTAACATTAGATAATGATCTAATAAAAAGCAACAACAAACGGCAAAAGTTTAATAAATAATGAGGGAAACCAATAAAAAGTTAAATAGGCAATAAAAGAAATATATCAAAAAGAATGAGAAAAATGCTACAGAATATGCACTCTTATTGGTATTTTTATTGATATCTTTAGGTAAAGCCTATCAAAAACAGCGTACAATTTTGAATCCACGATTTTCTTGAAGTCTTGGCGTCTATAATACCCACTACTACTACAATTGTAGCATCTTCCACTATATTTAATTATGTTAATTCACCTTCTAGAATTCTTTCTCATTTTTTTTTTTTTCAGATGAAATTCACTCAAGCAGTGTCGAACATTATTTGCCGAGTTGCGTTTGGCTCGAGATTTGAATACGACGACAAAGAATTTCTACAGTTACTTGGAATATTACGAAAATAGTAAGTTTCATTTTGATACGAAATGTAAAGACGAATAATTCTACAAAATTGCTGTCGTCGCTCTCCGCATCTGGAGAACAACGTGGCCAGAAAAATATTATTTGTTTCCGAAATTTACTCCAAGTGCTATACAGGAGTAATGAATAGTATTTATATTTCATCTAAAACATATGTGTGTCCTTTAATCCATGAATGTAGAAAAATAGCTTTGTGGCTTAGTTTCAGAAACACCGAAATAAACGCATAATAAAAAGATTAATAAAATATATCAACAATATTAGAGTTAAAAAATACTCCAACTTCCCCATTAACGTTGTTACCAATTTTCGTCAATAAAACTTATTTTAAACAGTGGCATTTCTATATCTAATTCTAGCCTTGGAGATACGACAGCAGCTAAGATGGATGGATTAATGACTATGGCTCCTATTCTGAGATTTTTACCCCCATTTAGCAGCCACTTCAAAGAGGGATTGAAGGATGTAGAGTTTTTCATGGGTAAGTTTTGGGAAGCTTTTTCACATTGCTCATTAATACGGAGCTTTCAATACGCAACCTCATGCCCCACCTCACCCAGGGTGTAATAAAGTGTGTAGAAATGTCGAAGCAAACCGGGCAGATTTTGGTCCTTCTTCAAAAATAGTAGTCTCTACATATAGATGATATCAATGACTGTTTGCACAAGGGTTGTATGGGCCGAAAAGCCGTATGTAAAAATTGACTTTGAACGAGCGAAGCTCTCACTCTTTGTAAAGAGCACTATATTTTGAGGAGATCAACATATTGCCGGTTCGAAATTACCTACTTAATTTATTACATCACTATTGGATCACACTCTATTGGGTTTCAACCGTAAAGCAACATTTATTTGAAACGCGTGATTGTCAATATATCTAAAATAGAGGCATTTCCTTGGTGCTCTGAGAGTACTGTTATGTTAGAATCCAATCAAGACATCGCAATCTGTATGAAATTATCCCATGGCTAAAATTTGATAAAAACATTTCATCTTATTCAATTTTTTAATTGAATTAAATTTTATACTCAGGTATAATAGGCAGAATCATTGAAGAGCATAAAGAACAGTTTGACGAAAATGATATCAGAGACTTCATTGATGCTTTCCTCAAAGAAATGAAGACAAGAGATAAAAATGACGCCAGTTTCAACGTAAGTTGAATTGTAATTGCACTTTAATAAAATACAAATCTGGTTAAAGCAAGAGTACTCATATACTTAAGAAAAAATTGTCGTGTTAGAAAACTAGCGCAACTCTATAAGATATTTGGGCGCACCAAGATGGCGGTGTTTCAGGTTGTGCGCCATCTTGGTGCACATACTTCGGAACACCTATATTTGAATTACCAGCCTAAACATTTCTATGATACAATCTGCTTTCAAGCTTTCAAGGTCCAATGTTTCTATGCCCAATCTAGTTAAGTTGGTACATAAGGAGGTTAATACCGAAATTTCAAATAGAGATGCCTTGATTTTTGTTTTTATGAGAGCTCGCTCGAGCACTGTCACATGTATATGAGACCGTAAAAAATACTAAGCAAACTTAAGAGTTTAATTTCCAATTGACGAACCCATTGCACACACAAAAAGTGCGGTATTTGTTAAACTAAACCTTCAGTTATCACATGACAGTAAATGAAAAAACCAGCGTGAAATTCCGAATGACTCTACATTCAACTTGACGTGAGGGGAAATTCAAATCGTTTCCCAATCTATAACAAAAGGCCGATTGCTCACGTGTCATCGGCATTGACAAAACTTTACCGAAGCTGCCGATACCGGTCGTAATGTCAGTAAAGTAAATCCAATAATTGTTGTTGCTTAAAATTCTTTTCAAAATTGCCAGTGAATTGAATAGAAATCGGTGGTATGAAACATAGCGTTCTGCTTCGGATAAATTCAAAATATAATAATAAAATTTTTATCATGAGTTTTTATCCAATATAGCTCATGCAATCATACAAGTCACTGGATAGCGCCGAGTATTATAAAGAATAAATACATGCAATCATATGATATATAACTCAGAGTGTCAATAATGTCTTCGTAGATGCAAATAAAATTCCTAAAACTCAATTATTTTGTAATTCATTTTATTAGACATTCGACATGGATATATTTTTTTTTTATAAATTATAAAGAATCTTATTGGAAACATTGTACTTATATATTGGATTTATTCGAAGCCTATTCATATAATTTGCTAGTTGAATGAAAAATTCCGAATAGTTAAAGCTACAATTGAAGCAGTTAACACAATTCAACTGTATTCGTCACATGACAGTGAATAGTAGTGAGCTATGCAGAGTTGGGAGAAAATATATCACGATAAATCGGTATCGTGAAAAGACGCCTCTTTATTTTAGATCATTGGGAGGTCATGTCAATGCTTTGAACACTTGCTTGAACAACAACACGATAATAATACGATATAAGACTAATTTTTTCCAAACTATGGCATGCCATAGACTATGTCATAGATCGATTGACGCAGGTTCGAGACTCCATTTATCAAAAACTCGAAATGGCATGACTGGGCATTGTCATCCACTATCCGCCATTGAGACTAAACTCAGTAGATGATTCGACTCAAACTTGACTCAAGATTCGGACGACTTGTGACTCGAGGTTCATGAACTTTGCAACATTGCAGCATTTGGGGTCATACAGGGTGACCTCACAAAACGGAATTCATAAAATATGTCCAAATGGACTTGGTTTCGTTTTGTGGTCACCGTGTAAATGTGAATCACGTACTACACCAACACCAGAACTATAATGTTCTATTAGGTTCAGAATTACTATGTTTTCTATCATAAATTTTCTCATACTTTCAGAAACTTCAACTGATTCAATACATCAGAGATTTATTCGAAGCTGGAACGGGAACAACTAGCAGCACTTTGTGTTGGGCAATTCTGTGCCTTGCGCATTACCCAAAATGTCAAGAAAAAATTGCCGACGAAGTTGAAAAAACTTTAGGTAATTCGTTTTTTATCATTTTTATTCATCGCATAAATTGGACTATTTGGCTTAAAAATAGAGCCCAAAGGAAATTAGGAAATGAGAATAAACGCTTGACTATTATACTTTCCTCTTCCTCATTTAAGTTCTAAACATTTGTAAGCATTCACTTTATACTTGTTGCAACTCGACAAATTAGGATTCTTTTATGTATATATTTGTGATTATGCAACTGTATATAATTACTGAGCTTAATTAATGTGCGTGTAAAAGAGACGGATACGCATTATAAACCTGTTGGCACCAAAACACACCAAGACGCTCATTAAAGTTGCGTTTTTCCGCAGGTTCGGACGGAGTACCCACTATGAAGCATCGAGATGAAATGCCTTACACATGTGCTTTCATACAAGAACTAATGAGACACAGAACTTTGGCGCCATTTAGTGTATTCCATAAAACAAACGAAGAAGCGACTCTCAATGGATATACTATTCCAAAAAATACCACGGTATGTTTTGTTATACATTTCAGGGCACTCCAGAAGTGTGTGTACAATATGGCGTAACTAATGTTGTTCGCCTACTTTACATCAAGTATTTAAAGGGACTATAACCCTACGGGTATATCCATTTTAGTACTACAGTGAGTTGCGAGTAATTCGAATAATTTACTTGAGTATTTATTTATTATTTTTCACCTCGTTTTGTACACACTATTATGAGACCGATTTTGCTTCAAATCAAACTTATTTCAACAAAACACTCAACTATATTTTCTGTTTTAGATCAGTCCAAACCTTTGGGCGGTTCATTTTGATTCCAAATATTTTTACAACCCAGAAGAATTTTGTCCAGAGAGATTTATCGACGATGGCGGAAAATTTATCAAATCCAATCACGTGATTCCATTCTCCGTTGGTCCTCGTCACTGTGTTGGAGAACAACTTGCAAGAATGGAAATTTTCATATTCTTGGTCGGCATAATTCAGCAATTGCGGATAGTACCGGACCCGAAGAAGCCACTCCCAGCTTTTGATGTCGGTGCTTTCAACAGCGTTACGTATGAGCCTCTCGATTTTGAAGTGATTTTTCAAAAACGTTGAAAATGAAGAAATAACTGTTTGAAATGATAATCAATTTTATCCATATAGGATTTGAAATATTTTCTTTAACCACATTATAATTTCGTTTCACCTAATTTTAATGCTTTGAATTCAATGATATAAATCAATTTATCTGATTCTCCTCAACCTTCAAAACCCACTTCAAGATATCTATAACTTTGATAATGTAACAATAAATATGATTAGCTTTCGTGTTGTCTACTTTTAATTTTATGGTAGTGTACTCACAGAGGCGGACACCCCCCCCCCAATAATTTCGCAAAAAATTTCAATACATGTTGTTTCCGCCTCACAAAATTATCATTTCCGAAAAGTGCAAAAGCCAAGCGGAATTAACCGGTAATAGTTACCAATATTATTACTGTCTTCTTACAATAATGTGGACCAGAGCGCATTCGGAGCACCTCGCATTTTCGTGAAACATGCGCGCCCACACGGGTAATACTCCGTTTTCAAACGCACCGCCGATCACGCGCCACGGTTTTGCACGACTAATTCATTTTTGTACAATTTAATATGATTTTCTCATTGTCAAAATCTTTCAATAGTGTTATTGTTGGCACTTGCGAGAGAAGTGAAAGAGGCAAACTGTATTTCATTACAACAATTAATTATCATCGCTAAAAATTAACTAGATCTAAAGTTGTTATAAACAATTTTCACCGCCGGACGTATCTTTTCACGTTATGAATTTCGTGCAAGGCCCAGCATAATTTGCGGGCAAAGATCAAAGCATTTGCTATGTCGAAACACCTATTCGACTTTTCAGACCACAGAAACTATCTAAAAAAGATACCCCCCACCTCTTCTGAATGTTTTTTTTTGTAAAATTGAAAAAGTCGCCAATAACGCGTGCAATTGCCTTTTGCTAAAATCGCCAATTGTTTTCATCATTGTGACCTACTATTTAGGTCGTAAACGCCTTTACGTTGGCGTTTATCCTCTCTAAATCACCAATTTTCTACAAATTTGTGACACGATGACTATGATAATTATTTTATTTTCGTACGAGCACGGACTTAGGAACCCGGCGAGAATTCTAATAAGTATCAACAAGTTGAAAAGCGGCAATATAAAATACTAAAAATAAAATTGTAATCAATAAGTTTTGTTGAGGCCCGCGACAGTCTAAAAACGCATTTCTAAGCATCGAAAATCGCAAAATTTCGTGTGCCTACGGCACAAATTATGTTTGCTTGACCTTTAAAAACATTTCATCACTAAAATCGAAACACGGTCAATTGTGAGCGGGATTTGCCTATTTATCCATTACTTTTAAATTGACGTCGAAAATTTTCGTGTTAACATTAAACAAAGCTGAGAACGCACCTTTTTTGCCGGTTTGTGATGATTTATATGATAATTGAAGTATATTCGATCAATTTTTGTATTTATTGTATTTATTTTTATTTTGACGTAAGAAGTCGCAACCGCGAGTTACGTTGCACACAATTAAATTAATATATAAGAAAATTTTAGAATCTTGTGGCTGCCATGGATTGAATATTTTACGCGACAGAAAATTATACGCTTAAATAGGCGGCTCTTCGGGCGCGTAATCGCAGTGCTTGTTGCATACGGCAATGTGAAGTTCCGACTTTAACCCCCCCCCCCCCTCAAAATATCAATTTTGGAGTACACAATATTGATTTCTAGGCAATTACCTATGACATATTTGTGTAATTGCCATTAAGTTTTGAATAATAAAGATGACATTCATTGTCGTCTTGAGTGTGTTTGCATATTCACCATTAGGAGTTTACAGGGTTTCGTAATAGTATACCCGCGATATCACATGATGCTGATATTCAATGACTGTTAATATTTGATCGAGGACTGGTTATCATTATCAATGCAACTCTGTATGGCGTAATAGGTCTTAGGGAGTATATATGAAACGGTCGTAGGTGGAAGGTCGTTATAATGTCGCAGTCTGTATTGGAAGCAATTTGACAAGCCTAGCATATATGTGAAGTGGAGAGTCGAGTGCAGTGGGGAATCTGTTGTTAGTGTATTCAAAGTCCCAAATGGTTATATATATAAAATTTCGAGCGAGATTCAATTTATTTCAGTGATGCATAATGCGGTTATTTACATTATGAAATACAGCTTAATTCCTTATTTTTAGTTAAAATTGGGTATAATTTTCATGAGCATAATTAAAAATCCATTACATTTTTAAGTTTCTAGAAATATGGAATTCTGTGAGGGTACGATTGCGGTACTTGGCCTGACCCTTTTATTATGTTGGTATCTGTTGAAAAGACCCAAGAATTTTCCACCAGGTCCTCATGGGTTACCATTGGTTGGTTACACTCCATTTATGGGCGACAACGCTGCTGAATTATTTCGAAAAATGAAAAGTAAATACGGATCCGTCATGTCAGTGCAAATAGGACGCGACGACTGGATAGTTTTGAACGACTATGACACTATCATGGAGGTAAGAACAAACGGGCTCTGTTTTATATAGGTTTACTTAAGGTTGGATACTATTGAACATCAAATCATACTTTAGGCATTTTTAGAGTTTCGCCCTGCACTTCGTAGAAGCTGCTAATACCTTTAAATATGTTAAAACAAATGATTCTTATGTTATCCATCAGTGAGGTCCCAATATGAGTAGTATGTACCAAAAAGGTTATTGCTCTGGCTTTAACATATTACGTTACATATAAATTGTTATCATTTTCTGCGTATCGTTGAATTTGAATTGTCGACAATATTGCATGGCATTGAAACGATGCATTTGACGCTTCTTCATAAATTTATGAGGTTTACAATGAAAGCAATTAGTACTTGTAACTCCTTAACATCGCAGTGACCGCTTTTGTAAAACCTTGTACAATTTGAACGCGGGGCACACGGGACATAGATATGATATAAACATCAATTCATATACGATATCATGTGCTATTGCATAGACACAACAGATTACCAAGTTAATGAATGTTTGTCTAAACAAGTACCATTACCTTTTTTACTTATTCATTCTTACAATTTAGTTATTCACGATCGCTCAATTTTCTCACGATTTGACTCAGATATTGTAAGTTTCTACATGTTATTTATATTCATTTTCATTGCTTTATATTTCGCAGGCTCTTGTGTAACAAAGTGAAAAGTTTTCTGGCCGTCCCAAGCTTTTCATGCTAGAATTATTAACAGGCGGCCGCGGATTGGCAATGGTTGATTATGGTCCTACATGGAAAACTCTTCGAAAATTTGGTCTGATGACTCTAAGAGGGTATGTGTGGCTTAGTTTAAATGTCTAAGTGTAACATGTTGTTTTGCAGATTTACAGATGCGAACACTAAATGTGTTGGATACCTTATTTATTTAATTTCCAAACGAGCTATATTTATTTGTCTTTCGTTCCAAAATAGGCTGTACACAAGCAACCGGTGCTATAATATCGTTGGGAATCGCAAGAATCGGATTTTTTGTACAAAGCCCCGGTCACTGATACAAAAATATGGGATTTGAGAAAACGACCCCGCCACGTTTTAAAATCCAGTTAGCGTTGGGGATTCGGATTAGAAAAGAGTCAAAAATTTGATAAATTTGCATCATATACTGGCTCAATTTCAAAGTAAGAAACATTTTTGATATAAGAATTGAACCCCAATGCTTAAGTTTTGATATTATTGTTTCTCACTTCGCAGGTTTGGCGTTGGCAAAAAGGGGATGGAGGCAAGTGTTATTGAAGAAACTCGATCTCTAACCGAAGATTTGGCAACACAAAGCGAACGTAGTCTGAGTGTAAGAATCTAACTTATAATATGCATAAAATGCGAAGACTGTATTGTACTAATAAAAGAGTCAAGTTTTGTATCAAAATACAATTATAGGCTCAAAGTAATGCTATAATTCAGCCTTTTCTAACCATGGAGAAATCTAATTACCTCATAGGAAAAAAATTTAATTTTTCACGTCCGTGTAGTTAGTTACTGATTTGAATTTATTCTTAAATGCTCAACTATTATGTACTATATAAACATTAGAAAAACCATAGTGCAGCATGCGCGTAACTTTAAATAATGATCCAGTAAAATTGAACAACAAACGGCTACAAAGTTTTATGCATAATGAGGGAGGTCAATAAACTGTTTTTAAATAGGCAAGAGTGTCAAAAAGGCTGCGAACCACTGCCATAAATAATGTCTGTTTTATCGGTACTTTTGTCTTTACCAAAAACCTACTGGCCGTTTTGTACAGATGAAGTTTACTCAAGCAGTGTCGAACATTATTTGTCGAGTTGCATTTGGTTCAAGATTTGGATACGACGACAAAGACTTTCTTCAGTTAATTGGAATAGTACGAAAATAGTAAGTTTTTAGAAACGAAGCGTAAATATGAATAATTCTACAAAATTATTGTCGCCCCTTCTCCGCATCTGATGAACCAAGTGGCTATGAAAAATATAAACTTAATTTGTTTTCCAATTTAATTCAAGTACTATAGGAGTACTACGTATTAAATATATTCCACCTAAAACTTAGGTCCTTTAGTTCACGAAAATCAAAACAATTGTTTAGTGGCTTAGTTTTAGAAACGCCAAAATAACGCATTATTACAATAATTATGAGTATGTATCAACAATATTGGAGTTTTTGAATATCAGCTCTCTTATTAACGTTCGAACCAATTTTATCATAAAAAATGATTTCATCAACTGACATTGCTGTTTTGTTCTCTTTAGTCTTGGGGATACGACGGCTGGAAAAATGGATGGGTTGATGACTATGGCTCCCATTTTGAGATTTTTTCCACCATTTAGCAGCTACTTCAAAGAGGAATTGGAAGATATTGAAGTTTTCATGGGTACGTTTTGGGTAGCTCATCTCTTTAATACAAAGATTTTTTAACATTTCATTTTCTAATTCAATCATTTCAACTAATCTAGGTTATAAATTTATAATAAATTGAACAGAAATGCTCTAGCGAACCGGAAGGAATTCGGTCGTTTGTAGCAAAGTAAAAGCTTTTTATTAGCCTTTAAATCGAAAGGCTCAAATAGGTATCGTTTAAAGGATGAAATGACTTCGAGCGAGAATCTGTCGAAGCACTGCTTTGTAAAGAGCACTTTGCTTTGGGAAGACCAAAATATTCACGGTTCGATAATGCCTATTTAATTTATTACGCTGGCTCTCATTCACTAGAAGAAAAAAAATGTAACGGCTGCAAAGCGATTTTGAAAATATCTAAAATATTGCAAGAATACATTTTACTGGTGCCTCTAGAACAGGGTTTCCCAAAGTTGATTGACTGCGGGCCAAAATTTGTGCAGAAGGATATTCGCGGCCGGGAAAGGGGAGAGGGCAAATGGGCGCGACGGAACGGTTGGACGGGTCGCTAAAGCGCCCTGGGAAAATTTTGAAACATAAGCACTAAAATATGCTTCAAACTTGATTTTACATACACCTAGCATCGCAGTTTATTATGTAACGGAATGTATATATTTAAGAATAGGTTATTTCACTCAAGTTCGGCGGGCCATTTTAAACCGTTACGCGGGACGTTATTGGCCCGCGAGCTACGGTTTGGGAACCCCTACTATAAAAGATCTGTTAGAACTAAATCAAGCTATTAAAATTTATATGTGAAAAAAAATCCCGTGGCTAATCCCATTGCATAAAAACATTTTATCTTATACAATTTTGTATTAAATTGGGATTTATACTCAGGTATCATAGCCAGAATCATCGAAGAGCATAAAGAACAATTTGACGAAAATGATATCCGAGACTTCATTGATGCTTTCCTCAAAGAAATGAAGACACGGGATAAAAATGATGCCTGTTTCAACGTAAGTTTATCTGATTAGGAGCGGATAATTGCCTTCTTATAAAATTTGATAAAATCATTTTTCTTTATCATAAATATCAATTTTCCGTAGCTTGAATGCTTTTTAGACCATCGAGACTAATAATAAAAACATGCGTATTCCAGAGTTTGATCGTACCCGCTAACTGTTTCGATCTAACTTGGAAAATAATAATTTCAGAACCCTCCCCCCTGGCTTCGCCCCTGGCACGGACACATGGATATGAGACCGTAAAAAATAATGAGCAAATTTAACAGTTTAGTGTCCCTTTTACGAACCCATTGCACACAAAAAATTGCGGTATTTGTTAAACTATAGCATCAGTTATCACATGATAGTGAACAAAAAAAACTTAAGAGTAACGTGAAATTCCGAATGACTACCTTCAACAAGACATGAATTTTCAATCGTTTTCAATTCAAATCGTTTCACAATATTTAATAATGGGCCGATTTGCTCACGTGTCATCGGCATTGACAAAACTTTATTACCGCTTCTCACATGACATATCTTTCGATCTAATTTAAAGACAAAATTGTCGCAAATGTCAATTGTAAAGGTTTCAATGTGTCGCGATATTTATCACATGATAGCGCAAAACAAAGTGTCACGTTATTCGACTGTAAGGAGAAAAGGGTTTCGGTAAACACTGTCATTGTCTACCTGAGATGCCGATACCGGTCGGAATGTCTGTAAAGTAAATCCAATATTTGCTGTTGGTTTCAAATGCTTTTAATAAGCGCTAGTAAATTGAATAGAAAACGATGGTATGAAACGTAGCTTTCAGCTTGGGATAAATAAAGCTTTCATTATACATTTTATCCAATATATAACTCTTACAATTATTGGAATCATTGTACTTTTATATTGGGCTTATTTGTAGCCTATTCATATAATTTTCTAGTTGAACGAGAAATTCCGAATAGTTTGAGCCCCAATTAAAGCAGTTAACACAATTCAACGGTATTCGTCACATGACATTGAATAGTTATGGGATGCCATGCACAGTGAGGAGAAAATATCTCACAGTAAACAAGAATCGTGAAAAGGCGCCTTTTCATTGTAGTTCATTGTCAGGTGATATCAATGCTTGGAAAACTTGCTTTAACAACAACACGAGAATAAAACAAGGACTACTTTTAAAACTATGGCATAGGCAGGGGTAGGCCAGGTTTTTTGGATCAGGGGAAAATATTGCCAGCCTAGATTGACGGACCATATAATTTCGACGTAAAATGTTACAATTTGTTAACAAGAATTGCAGTGTTATAACAGCAAAAATCGCAATGAATAAGCCTCGTGCCAAAACTAAATTTAAACGCAATCTCAGCAAAATACTTGCCCCATTTTATTTTTATAAATCATCATAATTCAGTTTTATTCCGGTTGAGACAGCATCAAGCGACCCAGATTCAATTACCCGACGGGCCGGATTTGGCACGTGGGCCGTATTTTTCCTAATCAGGCATAACCTATGTCATAGACTCGACTCGCGTTAGACTTAAGCCTTTATTTAACAACGACTTAATGTTATCAAGTTGCATGAATCAGACTCGACATCAATTCAATGCCTATGAGATTTAATTGCCGCCGTAATTGACTCGACTCGTGGCCCAAGATACATGGAATTGTATCCAACATTGGAGCATTTGGGGTAATACAGGGTGACCTCAAAATAAGTAACCCATACAATATGTTGCAAATAGCCTGTGTTCCGTTTTTTGGTCGCCCTGTACATGTAAATCACATACTATACCAACACCCAAAATAACAGGAGCTATGTTCTCTAACTTAAATCTTCATATTCCTTCAGAAACTTCAACTCATTCAATACATCAGAGATTTATTTGAAGCTGGAACAGGAACAACAAGCAGCACTTTATGTTGGGCGATTCTTTGCTTTGCACATTATCCAGAATGTCAAAAAAAAGTTGCCGACGAAATTGAAAAAACTTTAGGTAAATCGGTTTATTTATCATTTTATTTTATATTATTATATTATTTTTATTATTATAATATTTTACTTCCTATCATCATAGCGTTTTTATATGTTAGTCAGCGACCAAATCAATTCACGTATATTGGAATCACTACATTGAAATAATTTGTATTAATGGTGGTAATGATGAATGAGAGCATCAAACAAACAACAACTGGTAACAAATTAACGATATAAGGGCTCCAAGTCTTGGTCTGACCTCACAATATGGCCACGAAGTTCTATTTACAAACCGCAGTCCCCGCGCATAAATCTATTATCTGATGATTCAAGTTCTGCTTATCGAATGTCGAATGTACTTGGTGACGCAGTATACGCAGAAATGGACTTTCTGGCGTAGACGTAGAGCCGCAGAGAAAATTAGAAAAATAAGAATGAATGCTTGACTTTCATATCTTCCTCTTCCTAATTTAGGTGGGAATTGTAAAATAATTTACTTTTTACTGGCTCTGCCTCGAAAAATTCAGATTCCCTTATGTATATATGATTATGTACTTGTATATACGAAATAGATAGATATAGAAAAAGAGACGGATACACATAAGTTATATTGTTTGCTACAAACACATTGAAACAAAACGCATAAGTAACTCACTGTAACAATAAAGCATACGACAAGAAATGAGTTGTCATCAAGTCGCTCATGAAAACTGTGTTTTTCTACAGGTTCGGACGGGGTACCCACTATGAAGCATCGAGATGAAATGCCTTACACTTGTGCTTTCATACAAGAACTAATGAGACATAGAACTTTGGCGCCATTAAGTGTATTCCATAAAACGAACGAAGAAGCGACTCTCAATGGATATACTATCCCAAAAAATACCACGGTAGGTTTTGTTACACATTTGAGCAATATAGTGAGTTGTGAGTAAATTAAAAAAAATTAGTTTTATAAATTCCTTAAAATATTTTCACTTCGTTCTGCACACACTTTTATGAGACCGATTTTACTTCAAATCAAACTTCAACAAAAAACAAAACTGTATTTTTTGTTTTTAGATCAGTCCAAATATTTGGGCAGTTCATTTCGATTCCAAATATTTTGAAAACCCAAAAGAATTTCGACCTGAGAGATTTATCGACGAAGACGGAAAATTTATGAAATCAAATCACGTGATCCCATTCTCCGTCGGTCCTCGTCACTGTGTTGGAGAACAACTTGCAAGAATGGAAATTTTCATATTCTTGGTCGGTATAATTCAGCAATTGCGAATTGTACCGGACCCAAAGAAGCCTCTTCCAGCCTTTGATGTCGGTGCTTTCAATGGTTTTTCGTACGAGCCTCCCGAATTTGAAGTAATTTTTCAAAAACGCTGAAGAAGACATGTAAAAGTGATAATATAAACCCTAAGAAAAACTGTTCGTAATGATATTAAATTTTATCTATGAAGGATTTAAAATATTTTCTTTGACCTAATTATAATTTTGTTTCAATTTTGTAATTCTCCCCAATCTTCAAACTCCACTTCAAGATATTTATGACTTTGATAATGTAGCAATAAATATGTGTAGCTTTTGTGTAGTCTAATTTTGATTTCATGGCAGTGCACTCAGAATGATTAGAAAACGCTGATCAGCGATGCGGGGTAAGAGAGTAAACAAAATGCCGTAAACACGAGGTGGTGCTGTTGTGCAGAAAATGCTATTTGGCCATATTAAAAAAAATAGTGAAATAATTGATTGCGTTCAGATTAATAATCTAAATATCCAATGAAGTTTTTATTTTGAATATCATCTTTGAGGTGCACAAGATTTTTTTCTAGGCGATAACCTATGACATTTTGTCATATAATTGCCGTCAAGTTTACGAATATTCAAGATGACAGGAAATAAATGCCGGGTATCAATAATTAGGCATTTCGTTTTTCAAGTAACGAATGTTTCGAAATTGTATAAATGTACAATATGACTCTTACATTTAAAAATAAATATTAATGTCTGTTTATGTACGTACACGCGTTTATAATTACCTCCAATCTAGTATACTTCCCTAATAGACACAGAAAAAACGATGTGAATATTACAAAGAAGTTGTCTATAACTAAACATGTGCTAATTTAGAATAATAAAATTTGCTATATATATTCGAAAACCGTCAAATTAAAATATTGCAGATATAAATTTTCCAGATGATAATGAGTCATCCTAATCAAAACTGAGAAATATATACATTTGCCGTTCTAATTAAAGCTGAATTTAAAGATTAGGACATACCGCACTGAATAGGGAGTTCCTGCTTTGACACGCAGTGTGGCCTATCCGTATTTTGAAAACATAAATGTTTGAATAATTTCTTATCATTATTATTTAGCATTTTGCTCTGCATAAAGTTAGTTATATTGATTTTACCGGTTCAGTATCGTTTTGGTCTTTTTGATTTAGATATGTTTGCTTAGGTGTTTGACTTATTCAATCAAGGCTGATTATGAGTTCATTTTAGGGTTCTCCCGAAGTTTCGTACCAAGATGGCGCACAGCCTGAACATAGTATTTGTACCAGGTTAGGGTTGTTCAGTTTGTGCGTCATATTGATGCAAATACTTCCGGAGAGTTCATTTTTGTTCTGAACAATAAGTATCTGAGCATTACTTATTCTGTATAAAAAAAAAACAATGCTCCAAGATATTGATACGAAGGTCAAGCATCGGTACCCATGCGATGATTTTTTGGAACATCATTTGTTTTTAAAGATCGCCAGACTTTTGTAAAAGAGGGTGGATAATGCACATTGCAATAAATAGCTTTTGCCTCTATAGTGAAAATAAAATGTAAAATTGTGGAAATGATTTCGTCTCAATTAGTTCATTAGTATCTGAAAAATCGTTTTTTTTTTCAACAACAACAACAACCGCACAACAACAATGTAGCAAAACGCTTCATATATATTAACTAATTACGAAATACGTCACTTTTTATGAAATGTTGAGACATGTTTTTGAACAATGTCTCTAAAATTAAAATCGAAAACAATGGTCTATTGTTGTCTGTGGCCTTTTAATAGGAATTTTGTCATTAAAATCAGAATTATCAATCACTGTATATAAATATAGCTCACTTCACTTGTATATCGCCAAGGAGACTTAAATCATATTTTGATATTATACTGAACACTTCGAACCCTTCCTACTACGATAAATTACTTTTTATATATTTTCATTTGATCCTGTTATTTATACACGGAACGCGTTCACTTGGTAGTTTCTCATTCGAAGTTGTCAGCAGTGTTACCAAGAATATGCGCCGAATTTTGCTTTGATTTGTGTTTTTGTATTTTACTTCCAATTTATTTTTCTACGAAATGATCTCATGAAGCGTTATATTTACCTTGGGATGAAGACCTAAAACTATTCAGCTAATATCGCTTAGTAAAGATGGAGAATTACTAAAGAAGTGATGTTCTGAAAAAGAGTTTTTATTCCTCTCTTGATTTATCAAAGAACCTTACAGACCGTTTACAATATGAAAATCGAGATAAATACATTGAATGTCAATAATTTGATTGATTTAGATTTGGATGTATATTATTTAGTTGTATATTAAATTTCAAACTATGGTAACAGATATAATTTCAGGTCTTGACAGAACATAAATCACTGGTAAAAATAAACTGTATTTTATTTTCACAAAATAAATAATTTTCACAAAATAAATGACTGTGAATATTTGACTTTTGTACATTAAAGCAACTTTTTTACCTGCAAAATGTAAAATATTGGAAACTTTGTGCTCGCTTGTTTATCCCTCATGTTTGCACGATAAACATCACTATTAATAGATAAACATTGTCAAAATGTAGGTATAATCAACATGTTATAGGTCAAAATGAGTTTGATGCATCCCTAAGGCGTCTCAAATATGAAACAAAACAAGGAAAAGATTTATCATAATCCTCAGTTTCACGGAACAGTATTCTAGTAAATATTCCTTCTAAAAATTATTTTCATTATATTTCCAAAAATTAATGGTAGAATAGATAAGTCTGAAAAATTTTTCTGAACATATGAGTTAACAAACCCAAAATATCATAATCCGTCATTCTACGGAACGCTAATTTATAAAAATATCTTTTAGAAGTTTTATATGATACCGGTACATTCAGCATGATCTTTGAAGCCTTAGGCGTCAGGCTGTGAACACGCATGAAATATGTACCATAATCTGTACTTCTAAGAGACGCTACTTTATTTAATTTTTGAAAGGAGCTTGTCGATTAAAGTTTTTAACAATTTAAGAAAGATGTAATTTGTGCTTTCCAGCATTTACGTCAGACAATACCTAATATCGTTATGTAAAATGTCTAGCAACATCATTTTAGTTTTTCACATTGCTATGCAAAGTTTTACGAAAGAGCGAACGAGAGCAAAGAGCGAATATTTACGAAAGTTTCAATCATGTATATTCAAAGCAGACCGAATAACATACATAATAGAAATAAAGTAATTTCATTTAGGCATTTGTCAAATTATATAAAACGACCGCATTAGGCTTATGTATCGCAGGCTCGGAGCAAATAACGTATTACGAATTTATAGTTATTTGTGGAAGTGTAATTACTTAGGCTTTAAACCTGATTTTTATCAGCCTCAGTTAAGATATACTTCTGGCTGGGGATTTTAAATCTAAATGGGTCGTAAGTAAGTCATTCAATATTCCAGTTCAAAAATATTTTTCTAGCAGTATAATAGATTTATATATCCCATATTGTATGCATGATGACGTATGTATGAAAAATGATTTAAAAAAATCAGCAGACAAGCAATATGTAAGAGCTCGACAGTACGTAGACAAAATCATTTCGTTTCTGCATTTCCTATGCATCATATTGCTTGCCTGACGATCGTTTAAATCAGGTGTGTACAAAGTGCGGCCCGCGATACAAATGCGGCCCGCGGAGAAGTGCCAATTTCGAATGGTGTGCCGCCAGCTAAACTAGTTTTAAATTTAGTTTGATCTGGGATCCCTTTGCGTTTTAAAGCTTATATCCAATTATTTGTCTATGTCATGACGTTACGCCTTAACAGCGAAGCGAACAACGCGATTCACAAAGCTCTCACTTGCTGAGCAGCGAACAATTTGAAGGGGTATGCGGAAAAGACGCTAATGAATTTGTAAGAACGGGCAATTGAAGATAAGGCAACTGGAAAGCAGTTTGAAATTTTTTTATATTAAGAGATACGAAAGTTAAATGGGGTTTGGTTCCAGTCTATCAGATTTTGTTTTAATCTAATCTAGAATAAGATTTGACAGCAAAGTATTTGGAAATGAATCACACCCTGAACATAGTATGTGTACCAGGTTAAGGTTGTTCAGGTTATGCGTCATCTGGTTACGAATACTTCGGGAGCACATTTTCGTACCAATATGGCGCACAACCTGAAAATAGTAACTGTACCAGTTTGGGGTTGTTTAGGTTGTGCGTCCTCTTGGTACGAATACTTCCGGAGCGACGATTTATTTGCATTTTTCAGAAATGACTTAAATTAATTTTGCGGTGAAATATTATATTGATTTAGTTCAATGCTTTTTTTTCTGTATATCAAATATATTAATATCAATTTACTGTTATTGCTCAGTGGTATTTTTTGATTTGACGTTTTAAGTAAAAATTATACGTTTTTAATACATTTTACCGCCAATTCATTTATCGAATGCGCGAAACTTTCCCTTCCAATCTGAGAAGATACTTGCGTTTCTTCTGAAAACAAAAGTACCAAGTTTTTATTTGAAATTCAGGTTAATGTACATCACATTAATGAGTTAAACTACCTTGCAGCTAAACAATATCTTGACACCGTCTTCATTTGTTGCAAACGCAACGATTGGTAGAGTCATAATAAAATGATATTTGATGGTAACTACTATACCTACCTATTTAGTTTAATTTATTGTACTATAAATGGTATGTTGAGCATTAGGATTTGAAATCGAATGGTTTCAAGAGTCATTCTACATATCTTCGAAGACCTGAAAATACTTTGTAAAGGATATTGATAGTTGAGTTAGGGTGGAGTAGTGACGCGCTTTTATACAGTATTTAGATTCAAAAGTTTAGAACAAGTCTTTTTGGTGTAAATCTGCTATGAAAATGTTTCCTCATTTCATAGAACTTATGCCGGAGTAAAACGAAAAGGTAAGAATGGGTTCACCAATAAAACGATATTAGAATAACAGGTTCGCGTGAAACTGTGCGAGCCCGCTGATTCTCATAAATATAAATCAACTACTTGAGGTACATATCTGTAGATGGGTATTGAGTCAATATTTACGAGAATGAGTTTTAATATTATTTTCACTAAAGCATATCTATAAGAAATACATCTTATCAATATTACACATTTGAATTTTCTGCAGATTTTGATATCAAAACAAATACAGATTACTGAAAAGTAAGAAAAAAATGTGGACGAAATTAATCGAATATCCAAATGCTTTAGCTGGGATTGCAGCCTTTATATTTTGGTGCTATTTGCAAAGGAAACCAAAAAAATTTCCACCTGGTCCTCGAGGTCTGCCTCTTGTCGGTTACATTCCGTTCATGGCAAAGAATCCCGCAGAAACTTTTATGAAATTGAAAGAGAAATACGGATCAGTTGTCTATGTTCAATTTGGACAAGAAGATTGGGTCATTCTGAATGATTATGACACCATTAACGAGGTCTGCTGCACAAAATATTTCAAATGTAGCTTCATTCAATAAATAAACATGAGATTCAAAATAACTCGAGTAAAAACTTCTATGTTCTAAAACAATTATTGCCAACCACCTGTTAAAAAATAAAATTTCTAAACTTCTCGCCATTAATTTCATGAGCCATCGTCGTTCGTGTAATTTGTTTTATAACATTAGAAAGCAAGCTGCGTCTACTATCTGATAGATAAATAAGGATAATAATATAATACAAATATAACTCAATGCATGTATCTCAAAAAAATACCAAATCTGAAGACAAGGACGGTGTGGAAACCCTGACAATAACCAATAAACCTAGCGTCTAATATGCTTACTTCATGTCAACGTTATACAAACTTCTTTAAACCAAATACTTGAATGTTTTTTTTTCGTCGTAGGCATTTGTAAAACAAGGAGAAAAATTTTCCGGACGACCCTACAATCTTTTATTCGAGTTGATAACCAAAGGACGCGGGTTCTTGACGTTGGATTATGGATCAACATGGAAAGCTTTGAGAAAGTTTGGCCATGTTACACTGAGAGAGTAATCATTTATAAAAAAAATCTTATAGAAATTAAAAAAAATATTGATAAAGAGTTTATGAAAAGATCTGTAAACACGTATTTTTATAAATTTTTTTTTTCACACATTCACTCTGAAAAAGCCTCTGTGCAAGTGCAAGTGAACTATACTATATATTTATAAAAAGACCTTGCTTTTTATAATTTGTAATCACCGGCCTAATTTATTTCGATACTCACGTAGTATGTGAACCACGATGACGGACATCAGAAGGTAGTATGTGTACCTCGTAATATAACTGAAATTATAAAAATTGGAATAAAATTATGACCTGAACCTAACCTGGTACACATACTACATTCCGCTGCCCGCCATCTTGGTTCACATACTACGGGAGCGCCTTATTATTATACCTTCATAAGAGTATATGTAAATTTGTATTTAAATATTGACACGGTGTGCATTGGATTTAAATATTATCAAATTTATTATTTGATGTTCTGACCTTTTTTATTTCAGAATTGGGGTGGGAAAGAAAAATATGGAAACAAATGTAGTTGAAGAAACGAAATTCTTGATTGAAAATTTGGCAACGAGGAACGGAGAGAGTCTTAATGTAATATTTCAATAATTCGACATATAAAAATATATGCCATTTTTAAATTAAAATTTGTATATCATTCAAGTACTTTCGATATAGCAGTTGCTCTGAAAAGCCCATTTAAACTGTTGGACACCAGGTATGCATATAGCTTGTTTTGCCAAATTGTTGTTGTTGTCCTTTTTGTGGTGGTACTTATTGTAATTTTTCAATATCAACTGAGTATCTTCGCTGTTTTATTCTTGTTTATGAAAACACCTGCTTATTTATTATGGGAAAATTTTTACTTCACTCTAGGCTACCGATATTTTCTTTAGAAAACTCGGTGTTCAACTACAGCTTAGACAGTTCCGTTTTGTTATTGCCGCGCTTTTGATTCATAATTATTTTGGGATCACTATTTTGTTTCTTCTAGATAGAATTAAATCTTGCATCATCCAATATCATTTGTCGAATAGTGTTTGGTACAAGGCTCAAATACCAAGGAAGTAAATTAAGGCATATGATCGAAATATTTACAAAGAAGTAAGTTTATTTTAGCACATGCTCTTCGTCTAATTACATTTTTGGCGTAAATTCCCAGATGAACTATTAGAGAGCTTCCGAGTTACACATTGATAACCAAAATAAATATTTTTCAAATGGTGCTGTGTATGTTTGTGTTTGGAAAGTTACATATTGCTTGAACGAATTCGTGATCTATAATTATTCTGCAATTCTAAATGGGTATACTAGAAAATGGCAATAAGGTACTATCGTGCTCAAAGTCAAATTTGTGTATTCGAAAGATTTCATGATTTTTTGTTGGAAGCAAGTTCTCTATTTGATATGTAAACATATTCCCCTATCAAAATATACCTGACCACAGAACAAGCAATGGTAAAATCCGAATCCAAATCGAAACTTTAAATTTATCCCGATCTTTAACGTAATTTGAGATTTACTGAAGATTCTGGATCCGACTCAGAAATTCAGCCACACAATAGTTTGTTATTTGTTAACTTGCTTACTTTTATTATACCAAAAGCTTCCAAGACAATGCTCATTCTCGGATGCTATCCACGGTTAGCTTGGCTCCCATCTTACGTTTTATTCCCCCGTTCAGCAATGTCGTGAAAGTTACCTCTGAAGAAGCAGACTGCTTTATAGGTAAGAGTATCCGATATATTCTCAACAAATTCGCTCATTTACCATTACCGATGCGAGACCTCATTGTTCATATTTATTTATCTTTTATATATATACAGCAAAAATAAATTATATTTTAGCATATCTACGCGAATTTGTAGAAGAGCACGAATCGAACTTTGATGATTCCGACATCCGGGACTTTATTGATGCTTTCCTGAATGAAATGAAGAAACGAGAAAAAGATGATGATGTTTTTAATGTATCATTTCATATATCATATTAGGGACGTGATTTTGAAGTCGGAGTCGGACATGGTATTTTTATAATTTCCGGGGTTGCGAGTTAAAGTTAAAATTGCAGTATTTCAGTGGTGATGTGATCGTTTATTATTTTCTACAGAAACACAAAGAGCATCAAGTTTACTACACAGTAGTAATAGCTAAATATAGTAATAATAGTTAATATATTTGAATTTAAGAAAAAATATGAAATCAAGTCGACATTTTTTAAACATTTTCATCTATTATAAATTGGTGGTTTTATAGTACAAATTATTTAAGTCAGCATAAATGACTAAATATTTGAATTTTTATTTTCAAATCAGAAAATCCAGCTGGTCAGATTCGTACGTGATCTATTCAATGCGGGATCAGTTACAACAAGCAGCACATTGGCGTGGGCTTTCCTCGCTTTGGTCTGTTACCCAGAATGCCAAGAAAGAATTGTAGGAGAAGTTTTGACAACCTTTGGTAAGATAAAGTTCCAGTTTTCTATATTAAAAATAATTTAAAGCGATGCTCAAATATATGGACACGCAAAACAATTCCTCCAAAAATCATATGAAGTGACTTACCAGTACCTGTATAAACAAAGCACCACATCACAGCAATCAAACAGACAAAAACACGGTGGTCGCAAATTGGTTGACAAAGATATTTTGACCTATTGGAAATGCGCACCCCCTATTCACCCTCCTTCGAATGATTACTACAATGCTTATCTCTAATACACTTCGTTCCACATTAATAAATTTTGAAGCGCTGAAAAAAAAAAATACGCGTGTTGCGTTAATGAGCCTTTCCAGCTATAATTGTGATGTGCCTCTTTGGGCGTTTGAAAAATAAAAATGAGGATTTTACTTGCGTTTATGCAAATACATCCTAAAGCGCTGATTCAAAATACGATCGTATTTGTAATCATATTTTGAAAAAAATGTTCAAGTCAACGTAAATTATATTTAAAGAAAACAAATGCTAATATCTGCCAAAATCGATAATCGATATTTTTGAGTAAACCTCGTTGGGTTTGATACCAAATATAGAACGACTTACAGATTAGAAATAAGGAAAATTGAAATGCATGTGAAGAAGAAGAATGTCTGTCACATTCGTAAACAAAATTGAAATAATTATGATACAATATGAAATGCTACAATCGCGCGGTTTCTCGAAGTTGATTCGCGGGCGTTTCTTTCTGAAGTTCTTTTGTTTCATATCTTTTTCATCTGTTTTTGCAGTCAAGAGTTCTGACTAGTTTTTAATTTTACAATTTCTTTTTTTCTTTTCACACCAAGCGAAGCAGTGAAGTACGGTTTACCGTACCTCTAGACCACAGTCTACAAATATATTCACACCAAGCGAAGCAGCAACACAGTACGGTCACCCGTTTAGCATCACCGCCATTCACCGGTAATCTCGAAAAACTTGCGATTTTTGACATTTAAGAATCCGCCGTTACGCCAACGTTCGATGGCACGTAATCAAAAAGAAGAGTGCCCGCACATGCGTCCGCAGAAGGTTCAGTGACGTCATAGCAAACGGAAACAAATCTCACAGACCTGACAGAAATATTTGAAATAAATAAAAGTGATAGCCTTCTGAAGAAAATTTCATCTTTAACCACCAAAAATTTAATTTCAAAGCAATTGGTCCAGTGATCAAAGAGAAAAGCGGTTTTTTAATATTTCCACTAGGTGTCCAAAAAGTGTCAATGAACAACAAGAACAACATAACAACAAAACGATGTGTTCACTAAACATGTCCAACAAGAAAACCGATGTAATTCCTAATAACATTTGCAATGCCATTTACTTCATTAACCATATTTTAAACATGAATTTTAGTTCTAATTCAACTTGTTTTCTCGTTGTTATTATTTTTGTTTTTATTGTTGTCCTTATAAAAAATTATAAAAGACAAACTTTCATTACGTCACCATCTCCGTCAGTCGCACTTGTCCTTACCGATTTTTACATATATTTCAGCATTTCTCGTGTCATCATTTGATTTTAATGATTTTTTTATAATACTGTCGCTAACATTCTTCTTTTAATCTAACAGGTGAAGATGGAGTGCCGTCAATGAAACATCGAGATGAAATGCCCTACACTTGTGCCTTCATACAAGAACTGATGAGACATAGAACTTTGATTCCACTAAGTGCCTTTCATAAAACGAACGAAGATGCGACAGTGAATGGATACAATATTCCAATAAATACGACGGTAGGATTTGCACATCTAATGGGTACTGTTTTGTGGTTTATATAACAGCGGCCAATCGAAACAACAAAGTGAAACAATCAAATTTAACCTGTTTTATACAAATAATTTATTATATATAAATATATAAACTGAATTTATATTACAGCTGTCTTCAGAAGATAAGTTATGACGAGTTATAAAAATAACTTTTAAATGTATTTTTAAATTACAAGCCATAGAACTGTATAACGACGTTAAGCAGTCAGCAATCTTCTTGCACATAACCATCGAAGGTATTTGAACGACGGACGGCAGATTGGTTCAAACGTTAGATGTTGACATCGCATGTAGTGATTATCTGGTAGAAAAGAAGGAGTCAATAAAATTTACAATATTTTACACCTGTATATTATAAACATGTCATCCTCTCAAAAAAAAAAATTAATTTTTTTCATGAGACGTGCTTTAAAACAAGACTCCGTAAAAGTTTCCACCAATAAGTTAAGATCTACTATGTCGTTCGGCATTTTCCAAACAATTTTAAAACACCCCGGATGAAGTCGCACGCATTGGATTTAAAAATAAATTGTAAACTGAAATGCTAACAGGGTTAAGTTCATCGAGTTAACTCTTTGTTTATACCAGGTGTCACCAACCTTTTCGAAGCCGAGGGCTACTTTTAGGGTACAGATTAAGTTCAATGTACACTTCTAAAAAAATCAGTTGCTCGATTAAGCTTCAATTATTACCGCTGGTCGGTTAAGGCTTCCTCCGTCATCATCAAGTCCAGGCTTTCGGAGACAAATAACTAACTAATTCCATACTCGACATCGAATGGTAACCGGCGAGAAGACGTGGTTTGTCATATGGTTAAGCCGTCCTATCGGCTATCTTCCCCCCCGGGATAAATAGGTAAATTTCCTCCTATCCTGAGTTTGTCAAAAATGTTGATTCAAAATGATAGGTTGAAACAAACGATGGTCTCGTAAAATAGGATTGCTGTATGATTTGAATCGCGAGCTTTTTCTGTCCGTACTGTGCTGACCAGTGGGTAGTTAGCGCGGAAGATTACGTGACAAGATGTGAAATATCTCTCCGCTTTGCCGTCGCTAAAAGCGCCCCACTAATGAGACACACGCAGGCTGTTTTTATGGTGGTATAAATATATCCACCTACCATTCATCGTGAAAATGATGGATTTTTTTTGGAATCAATAATTGTATTATTACTGCTCCGCTAACCAACGGACAAGAAAAAACGCAGGTTCGTGGAAAGTGATCTCAGTGTGATGTCATAATTGGAAGAATGTTAATTGACCCGTCACATTTCTGGGGTCAAATAAAAATAAGGTTGATGATTACAATAATTAATATAGTGTCATTTCTAGTTCCCATATAAGTGTGATTTATACTAAAATAGCAGGACAAAATTTAATTGATCTAGCTTACTTATAAGAGCCGTTATTAAGCTTAGTTTGGAACAGACCTGCGGGCGACTCGTATGGTCTTCGCGGGCGACTTGGTGCCCGCGGGCAACGCGTTGGTGACCCCTGGTTTATACCATCACGAGCACGCGTAAAAAATGAATTATTAAAAATTCATATTCATTTAGCATAAATAATATATTTCTGTATTGCAGATCGTTCCGAACATCTGGGCAGTTCATTACGACCCCAAATATTTCAAAAATCCGAGAGAATTTCTACCTGATAGATTTCTCGGCCGTGACGGAAAATTCATCAGTTCTAATCACGTGATTCCATTTTCGATCGGTCCTCGACATTGTCTGGGAGAACAACTTGCAAGAATGAAGGTTTTTGTATTTCTAACGGGAATATTACAAAAGTTAAAACTGTTTCCACACCCTGGAAAGCCCCTTCCTTCTTTCAATGACGGCGTGTTCCGCATGGTCACATACGGGCCACCCCAGTTTGACGTCGTTTTCGAACGACGATAACATTTTTTTAAATAAAAAAAAACAGCTTTTTATAATTGGGAGCAAAAGGATAAAAATGATTAAAATTATTACAATGTTTCTCTGTACTTGACAGATAGGCACATAGACATGTTTTGTTCAAAGAACTGTAGGCGATGCCACTTCACAAAAAATGAATTTACGTAACCTAATAAACATTTATAAAGGCTAAAATATTGTAATGACTGTGTATTTGTAACGCTAACAAATGAATTAAATCGTTTGGCAATTACGACAACTTATCCAAATGAATTTTCCAAGATATTTATGAATTACCTTTCGCGTAACAATATATAAATTCCTTGGTCGATAAACTTTGTTTTTGGTTTGCATCGCTATGAAGTAATTTCTCAAAAAAACCTAGCAGGACATGAAAAATGATAAGTGTGTTTAGTAGTTGTACGTACATGTGCATGTCGTAATTCTTAGTGAAAAAAAAATTAATAAAACAATGTTGTACTTCATCTTATTTCATTGTGTAATATAATGGGTAGGCAATGCCCAACACGCATGAATGAACACGCATAAACATAAGCATAAACACAGGTTTCATTGGAGGCTTGTATTATTATTCGACGATTTTAGCGCCGTTCAACACAAAGGTACTTACTCTAAAACAACTAAGTATATCACTTGACTATAACTTTTGAAGTTTGAAATTTGTGGGGTTCGCAAATAAGGATGATTATATTTTATATTATTTTCGTGTGTTTTACTGCAGAAAATGCCCAGTACAAAACGTCCCTAATGTATGGGAAGTTGGTATATTTTGAGAATTCTGGAATATTTTTTGGTTTAGAATCAAACCTTTGCTTGGGTTGAGGGCGCGAAAGGCTTTCAATAAAAAGATCTGCAGCCTTTTGTTATGTTTTTTAAAACAAAATGCCGCAATCATATCTTTGCAGCGTCCAAGTAAACATCGTTAAATGTAGACGAGACGAATGTATTAACAAAAAGTGTTCTAAATGCATAGGTCAGTACTTACGTAAGCAAATTATAAGCGTTTACAAAATGTAAATGATATATATTTTGTGCTCACGATGCACACTTTAAACAAATGTAGTTTTTCAGACAGATGTCGCATTACTCTGTATAAGTAAAACACAAAATGTCCCGAGTGAAATTTTCGTAACGAATTATACTTTCTACTAAAAAATATAACTGAGATTTGCTTTTCAAAAATGTTTTGATACAAAGAGGCGATAATTCAGTGTATGAGCACGAATGTCCAATGTCAGTCTGAGACTTTGCCGTTAGAGTCAGTGTCAGGAGTGGACGTATGTCTTGTTTCAATCGATTTTGACGGTGTCGGAGCCGAGGTCAAATTTTTCAAATCTCTCAGAGGTAAAATTTTGAATTTTCTTGATATTGCCTTATGTTCCAATATTTTCCAACTTTTAACAGTATTAACATAAGTTGACCACGTTTAAACAAAGGCACATATTCTAAATAAAACCATTTACCCTAACAGGCAATTTATTGTTAAAAAAGGCGTTTTATTGCCAAACTTTTTATTTCTCGCGAGCTGGAGTCGTGGTGAAAATTCCGATTGCAAAGATCGATTGGGTTGCTCATAAAAAACTAGGTATCTGATAAAAAAAATTTTTTTTATTCCTGCTTAAAATTTCGTAAAAAAAGTAATTCTTGCGCCATTGAATTTTCACAAACCGAGGCGATTCGTTTAGCTAGCCAGATATGGTTCAGTTTAAAAAAGGACTAGAAATCAGCATAAACAATGAAACATACATAAACCTAAGAGTAAACTAAAAAATTATTTTTTATTAATGTATATACCCGGAGATGCAATTGGGCTTAAACCTCAGCCAGCAGATCAAAAATGAACAACCATAATTCATCGAGTTTATCATCGGTTCCACGCTTTAGGTGAGGTAAAATAATATGTAATATACAACTCTGAATGTATGAATATACAAGCTTGATAGTGGAAGAAGGTTCACCTCCTTTATTGGTTAAATTTGGTGTTCTCTTTGTACATGATGACGTAGAAATCTTCAAATGTTCAAGTTTGAAAAAAAGTCGAATAGTTGGGATGCCATGCCTAAGCTTGTTGTGTTTTATAACGTGAGTAATCATTTTCGGATGAAAGAGTAACATCATATTTGATACCGTGTTCAATATAAAATAAGACGTTTTTTCTACGAAACCCAGTAGGCCATGGCCATATGCTGGAATTCATGGAGTTCTCGAAAAGCCTGAAGCATAATTTTATATTTTGTTATGTATTATTTTATTTTCTATCATCATAGAGTTTTTTATGTGTTAGTCAGCCACCAAATTAATAGTCCGGTAGAATCGGTTCTTAACATTATTTTCAGACATAAAGTTTTTTTGATTGTTTAGATATACTGTCGATGACATAAATAATGATACCCAGTTGGGTGTGGAGTATATGATGTTGAGCAATTGTTTGCAAGTGGATTTCAAGTATTCGTAACAAGATGACGCACATCCTGAACCCGAACCTGGTACATAACAATGTTCAGGATGTGCGATCTTAATACGAATACTTCGGGAGCACCTTTTTGTAAAAAACAAATATTTCATAACTGTTGCACTCGATTCTATGTAGCCTGGTTACTTCGCACGCACATTTAAGAGATTAGAGACTTCAAAAACGCGTCCCAATAACCCAGTCCCGACCCCAAACTTATATCGGTTAATTGGTACAACAAGCAATTAAAGTCTGTAAACAACGGTTAAAGTGCACCCAGATTCTTCTGTGCCTTCCAAGTGCTGCCCCAATATAATTCGACTTGAAATCGGTGAATATCTTTAATAAACAATCAACAGGCACTTCAAATCAAATCTCGAACATGAATCGGGAAAATAGAACTTGCCGGGTACGAGAAACGGAACGTTGTTGATGGAACGTAACGTAAATCTTGATACCGGGTATAAAAAACGGTTTTCTGCCAAAAGAATAGATGAAACTAAATAGCTTATATGGCGCAATTAATCAAATATAACGGCATTACCATTTTTACAAGCAATACCAATTCACAGCAATTAGCAGATAACCGAATGTCACAATTATGTACAGATTAAATCACATAGGATAAAATAGCATTCACAATACTAAAATACAGAATAAATGATACAAGATAAAACAATATTTACATACCGAATGTTTAGGATCTCCAGGCAACTCAATTCAACAAATTATAATCCAAAGCAAACCCAAACTTAACTTATGTGACTAAATACAAAGAACAGCAGTTATCATTCCATTTGGACTATAATACAACCCTAACCTGCATACCTACGTTATTAACCCTAGGTTAAACCTATTAACTTTAATCCGAATCCTTTATCCTTACCGCAAATAGTAAACCAATATTAAACACGATAAACAACTCTTAGCGCGATAGATTACACTGGATACAAGACAGAAGGTGCCAACTCCTCGAAGCAGCCTGGCGATAATTTAGAATTCCCGGGATTAATCGAGAAACTTCTTAAACAGGACTATGTCGCAATAATGCTGCGTCGAAACATTTGCAACGTCTGCGTAACAACGTAAAACGTCATCAAATTGGAAACAAGTTATGATTCTCGCTAACAATAACTACATGGGTTTGTAGCAAGTACATAAGAATAGTTACTGTGTATTTTAATATTTTCACCACTTATTGTTAGTAGTGCATGTTATTTGCCTGAAACAAGGTCGTTGTCCCGATTCATTTCCTTTATGATATATTTCTCTCACTCAGTGTAGCTTGTCTTTGCCGTTCTTTGTTAGTTAGAAATTTGGTTTCATCACCTACACTTGCTTTAAGGTTTCAAGTGTAATTCGTTATTTGGATCAATTCGATTGTGCAACTTTACAATATAACAATTGGCATTCAATACATTGTGTGCTTTTTGACCTCTGAAGGAGTCAAGATCGGAGTTACACTCTGTTAACGTGTGTTCAATAACACGGGAGTGTGGACACGCAGATAGGGTCGAATCTTTGTTGCCCTATATTTTGGTGATACCCGTTCGTGATCAATAAGCAATCAACTTCAATTCAGCAACTGGAATTTCGTCAATCAAAATGGAAAAGAAATTCATCACTAACCGAGTCAGTGGACAATACGTCAGCATTTCAGGAATCAAGCAACCAACCAAACTGCAGTCTTTGGCGGTATGTCAATTGATTAAGCAGTCAAGAAGGCCAGAACAAGGTAGATTTTTGACTCAAAACGAGGAATCTGGACCAGGACCTCCTACGATCAGACAGCACTAACTCAACTTCATATTATTACTGGATTTTCAAATGTGTTTATCGACAAAGCAAGTTACGCAGAAAATAACATGATGATATATATACCCAAGCCGATTTCTTACTCCAAGCAGCAGTATTTATACGACCTATTGTTTGGCGGAAGTTTACAAAACATCTACTTTATTTCTCTCAAGTCGATCATCATCTATTGCAGCATCTTTAGAAACCAAGTCGAACCCAAATACTCGTGGCCCGCTTGGAAGGGTCCTCTCTACTTCAATCACATAACACGAAAACTGCATTCACCTCCAGCTCATCTAAGTCAATGTGAACCGAACACGAGTTTCCGTCGCAAAGGCGCTTTCACAATTGTTTGGAATGTTGGAGATACGAAAGTTCGCAGGGCCCGCGACTTTCCGAAATTCAGCGCTACCGAACTCTTGCTACATTACAATTCATCGGACAATCTTCCCAGATTGAAAAATCCGAGAGTTGGACAAGTTTTCAAATCATAGAGGAATGTTTTCAACGAACGAAATCTTAACGTCAACATTATTCTTCAAATCAACTGTTACGTTCATTATTTTACAAAGCAGAAAGAAGTCGATTGTCCAAACGCAATGGCTTAGTTCTGGGTGTTATCGAAGACTTCGTGAAAATCTGTAGATTTCACCGCAAAAGATCCTTCAACCGGAGGTATCTCAATCAAATTGGTTTTCCTGTGTCGTTGCATTAGTTGGTCATCAGCGACTTTGATGCAGAATTAAATACACCAATACATGGCAAATTTTACGACATATTATTCAATCAGAAATCGTTATTAGCTAGTCTTACAAAATTTAAAAATTAGCAAACTAATTTTTTATTGTCGGGGGGAATTGTGTAGCAAGTACATAAGAATAGTTACTGTGTATTTTAATATTTTCACCACTTATTGTTAGTAGTGCATGTTATTTGCCTGAAACAAGGTCGTTGTCCCAATTCATTTCCTTTATGATATATTTCTCTCACTCAGTGTAGCTTGTCTTTGCCGTTCTTTGTTAGTTAGAAATTTGGTTTCATCACCTATACTTGCTTTAAGGTTTCAAGTGTAATTCGTTATTTGGATCAATTCGAT